GAATTTCATATGAATATAGTTCTTCTTGGACTTAAAGGAATATTCTTGTTTCATGCTGTTTTCGAGAGAATCTTCTTCGATTCCGGTGAAAACTTGCAACCATATTTAAGATGCAGAACTCTAAATCTATTGATTTTGATGAGGTATCAAAGGATTTGATTAGTTCAAGTCATTTATCAGCACATAGGTTTGTGTCTGTGTCTGATTGCGTGTGATCATACGCATTCATATGGATGTGTATGCACGAGCCAAGTAGTGATGGCTCAAAGTAATTAGAGCAGAAGGTAACATCGCTTCTCGTTTCAGCCAACCGACAACTGGCCAAGAGGCTTTTGATGGGGTCGAACTCTAAATCTCTTCCCAAAAGGTATTCTAATCAAGGCGGAAATCAACTGCAGCTTCTACTTCGCCAGGGTCTCATCACCAACCCCAGCAGAACGCGAATCCAGATTGAGTTGCTGCAGCCCATAGTCTCGACAATGTAGCCACTACTTCAGTCTTCTACTCACGCATTCACTTAAAATGAGAGCGATTTCAACAAGTATAATTAAAGAAAATCCCCAAAACCCAAATTTTATTAGCATATACTCGTCCATACAGGCAGCCAATGGTCTGAATAATAAGACGTGTTCCTCAAATTAGTCGAACCTCTAAATGAGCTTTATGGTAGTTTGCTGGGGATACGATTAGGCAAGTTGAAGCCTGCAATTCAGCCTGGCTGAGAATGAGTCAACGGCATTTTTGTATGATTCATAAAAGTATAGGATTTATATTCACCAGTGGACAGTGAGCACTGCTGAATTCCTCAATGTTAGTATCTTTTCTGCGGAATAGCACGAATATGGCCTTAAATCGCAATCTTTAACGGCAGTCAAATCCGTTATGATTGTGGTTCTTATGACCACTGCCAATACCCACTTATTGCCATAGTTACACGCTACGATGCGTCTCAGATTCTTGTCGAGGTGTTGGATTTTTAACGAGTCTATTTGAGTTTCGCAGGTTAAAAGGGAGCGTCAATCTCGCTTTATCGTGTCATCTTCACTTCAAGTGGGTTAAAAGGTGAAAAAATTGCGATACACTAGAAGCTTTTCTGAACTCACACTCTTGTGGCCTATTCCCGACAACTTTACCGTCAAGATGTTACTTGATGCATAACGTGTAGACTTGCATACTACTGATAATTGTCATTCCTACTCATTATGAATATGGGTAGCATAATCGATAGTAATAGCAAAATACAAGTTTGCCTCAGATAATGCCACCACAAAACGATTGTCTTTAAATTCACATCTACCCCGAGACCCATTGCCACAAGTAAATGCGCAGTGAAATGGTTGCGTGTCTCCACGCAACGTAGACAACCCGGTTTCGAGTCCTGTCAAGCGTGTTGCTGCGATACTAAAGCGATGTTAAAACTGCAGTCCGGTCCTGTTGAGAAGGTGTTCTAAGGGAAGTTGATTGTCGCTATGCGGACTTCCTACCTTATTGTGGGACTTTTACATATTTCATTGGTAATTAGTTAACTTATCAGGTTGACTACAGTTTCTATCCGTCGATGTATTTAGTCGAGCCCCCTCGAGCCGAGCAAATGCGGCCGGTGTGTAACCCGAATCGGTCACATTCCCAGTCTCAGTCATAGCCATGCCGGGCTTTCGTGAGGGGTCAGAGGATGCAATTCTCCTCTTTGCACCCTCCACCACAGATTGCCGCAGCAAGCTACGTATCTGGGCTGCGTAAAATGCAATAGTGAGTTTAGCAACAGACGCAGTTGATTGATTTTTGCCGGCAAGATTGCTCAAAAAGCGCTTCACACTCATCATAGCTTTTGGATGCTGTCTTTATTCAATTAGGATATACAGTAGGACTGACAGTGTTGCGATGGGCCAGACTGGAGTGGAGGAGGATGAGTCGGAGCAAAGAACTGACTAGCTCTGTCCGGATTCGGCGTCCGCTACGAGGCGTTGAGGTAGATGGAATTGCAGTTCTGTTGCCTAGACAACCGGTTGTGCTGTATCGCTCCCGACGACTGGTTATGCTGATCGCAGTGCACCGTCTCGTCGTTGGCAGGTCTAGCGCATGTTCTGAGGCAGAAAATTCCTCTGGGCCGAGGCGCAATGACAGCATTGCTTGGACCAGATGTCTTTCACAAAAGTGAGGAATTCACCTTCACTGATCTCTCCGTCGCCGTTTTCGTCAAGGGCCTTCAGAAAGCCCTGAACATAGTTCTTTGGAATGGCGCCCACGGAGATCTCGAAGAATTTACGCAGCTCCTCCAGACTAATCCTGCCAGAGTTGTCTTTGTCCAA